TGGATCTTCTTCTGGCTGGGCACTGATCCGATTCCGACTGGACGGTGCGGGATAGGGGGGGGGGGACAAGGGACAAGGGGCCAGAAATAAGAATGATGCTGCCCCACGACGTCTTGTCTGGCTAAGTGCTAGGCGTTTCTGCCTGAGGTGGCGAAATTGGCCGAGGAGTACCTATATTCTGGTGCTGGAGGGGGCCTGGAGGACTGTGGGGTGGCGCCCAGGTGCTCGCGGCTGGTATGAGCTGTGTGTATGTGATGGCCTCGAAGGGTCATGTCTGAGGCTGTTAAGAGCAGGGAATGGATATTGAAGAAAGCATATCTGATAATTTGTCATTATTAAATTTGCGCAGTTCGACGACGTCCAGAACAGGTAAGAATGATCACAACCTTGGTCGCAAGGCAGACGTCTCACGGCCGCTGAGTGTGGCAGCACATGTGGCTGGCGCCTCAGCTGGCACTGCGACTCCATCACTTTGTCGATGACGAGTTGCAGCTTCCCCGTCAGACCCGCTATGATTTGTCACACTCGCCCCTCGAAACAGACGTCAACACTGTCAGATGGTGAGCGATCGACGAAATGTCTATGGCCTTTTTCTTCCCTTTCACTCCATGAACATACAATCTGCTCTGCCTCAAGACAAATATTGCAGTTGGAAAGGCTTTCTATAAAACAAACGCTCCAGACCACCCCTCATGCGATTCTCTCCCCTCTTCTCGACCCTCATCTTCACAGTTTCCAGCTTCACCCGCGTTCGGGCCTCCTCACGTCTCACATCCACACTCCGCGTTCGCAACACACCTCTACGCGCTTCCATGCCCATCCCTTTCATCAGCTCGTTCTTTAGCTCCTCGTCCCCTTCCGAGAAGATGTCTTACCCCGATCAGCGGACCAGCGACGAGTGGCGCGCCGTCCTCAACAAGGGTAAATAATCTCTCTCATCCTCCCTTATCTTAGCCAGTAATTCGACGAACATGACATATCCATGCTGACACATCCCAGAGCAATTCCGCATCCTCCGCGAGAAGGGCACCGAGGCCCCCGGCTCCGGCGAGTTTGACAAGCACTACCCCTCCGAGGGCGTCTACGCATGTGCCGGCTGCTCTGCACCCCTCTACAAGGCCAACCACAAGTTCAAGTCGGGCTGCGGCTGGCCTGCCTACTTCGACAGCCTCCCCGGCGCCGTCACCCGCCACGAGGACCGCGCATTCGGTATGGCGCGCACTGAGATTGTCTGCTCCAACTGCGGGGGCCACCTCGGCCACGTCTTCAAGGGGGAAGGGTTTCCCACGCCGACTGACGAGCGACATTGCGTCAACAGCGTCAGCCTGACCTTCTCGCCCGAAGACAAAGCGAAGGCGGAGGGCGCTGCGAGAGAAAGCAAGGCTTGAGATGGTTCATCCCGTCAGCGTGTTCGTTTTTCAGCGTGAGTTGTAGGTGTTTGGGAGGCTGATGGGGCGCGGCCAAGTGCTAATAGCACCTGTGGAGTCTGGCGTGGGGTTGTTGTCGACCTTGTTGTGCCGGAGGGCTGAGAGGCAGTACTCATCACGGGGCCGAATAGTCAGTCAGGTTTGAGTTATGCTTGATACCTTGCAAGGCGTGTTCGATTTAGGACATTGCTCGCGTTGACTGAACCTTCCTCCTCCTGTGATCCACTGCACCGTACCCATTCGGAAAACCACTGCCAGCCATACCAGCTCTGACACCTTGGTGGCCGTCAAGAGCAGCCCCGTTTCAGAGGAAACAGTCACCTCAGTGCAGCGGAAGGCGTGACCAACGTGCCCTGTCCCATCTTAGGGTTTCCTTATGCAGCTCTTCGATCGAAAGCCATCTGCGAAGGCACTGCCCTCGTCAACAAAACCGAACAGAGCGTCCCGTTCCCACATCTGGTTGTCTCTCTCGTCTTCATGCGTACAACTCCCAGTCTTCTCTGACTTTCATCCTTTCTGGCTTTGAATTTCTTTGACTCCTCAAGTTGAGTTTCATTGAATACGTCTTTTCTGCGGTGTACGATATAGAGCAGCCATCCCTCATTGCATCGTTCAGCATGGAAATGCACGACGGTCATGAGCCGTGCAGCGATACGGGCTCGTTAACTGCAAGCATCGCCAGCGACGAGTCCGCGTCCATCAGGCCGCCCCTCCCCTATATACGCTCTCAGAGTTCCGCCGACACTGCGAAGCTCAATTATTTCCGCGGGTACGTCATGGCCTCGGCCGAACCTTCGGACCGTGAAACCTCGAGCACTAAGGTCCACGTCGACCCGTCGCGGTTCGCTCCGCACGCAAGCGGCACGGATGTCCTCGGTCTCAGCACTCCCCCCGCCGTCGTCGCCAGGATCGCCTCCGACAAGCGCAAGGCGGATGCCCTGTCGACCTGTACTTTGCCTTCATCCTCGTCCGCCCAGCCCGCCAAGGTTGTTGACACAAATGTCAGCCGGCCTCGCAAACGATTACGTCTCCTCGTTTCCAGACGCGGATCCGACTCTGCCAGCGCCCAGCCCGAGCAGAAGACTATGGCCGCCAGTCGCGGGGCCGCCAGCTCGCCTATCTCGGCTTGGCTTAGAGATCAGCCCGATAGGCCCGGCGACTATGCCAACGCCGATTTGCCTCCAACAAAAGACGAGGTCTTCGACCCCATCCGCGAAGAGCTTGGGATTTCCAAGCTGGCTCCAAAGTTGCCACATGCCGCTATCATGGCCAGTGTGCAAGCCATCCGCAATGTTGAGGATTTGTTGAAGATTGGTTTCCTAGCCGGGTCGAAGTATCCAATGCATAAGCGCAGAGACAGGAAGTGAGTTATTTAGTATTTCGATGCAGGAAACTTGAAAAGCGAAATTTGCCTACCAAGATTGGGCCCTGGAAAGCCGATTGTCCTACGAATCCGGTAGTACCTTGATGTCAACTGGATACTCAAAGGTCAGGTTCATGAAAGCGTGAGGAGCAATGGAAGTTTGCTTGAGAAACGGACGGCCTACTTCAGAGTCGCCGAGCTGTGGGGGCATCGCTTAAAATGAACAGTTTATCAATGGTATCTCAGTCTTCAACCTTTTTCCTTGCCACATGGTTCCTCAATGAGCCCTAAGACACCATAATCAGTATGCCAGGCCCGGCAAATCGACTACGCGTGTCTTGATGTAGTCAATCATCATCTGGTTGAAGGGCAAACGAAGCAGTAGCGAGCCATGGCTATCAATGGCTTCCTGTGCCACATTCTCCACATTCCGCAGCATCTGCGTTATCGATTTCTTTGCGTCAATGTTTACCCCTCTCTCAAGCCGGTCAAGGTCATCGTCGACATGGTCGTGCATGATGTGTCGGGCCTGGTCAATCAGTAGCAACCCTGCAGCGAGGACACCGCCATCCTGGCTTGTGGCTTCATGCAGTGTTTGTG